GAGAGAGAGAGAGAGAGAGAGAGAGAGAGAGAGAGAGAGACAGAGAGAGAGAGAGAGAGAGAAGAAAGCAGGATAGTAGGAAGGGCAGGATGATGCAAAAAATCTAGAGAAGTAAATAAGTTCTAAGCGGTTCTAAGAGGTAATCTAGTTAAGTACTCGAGCTGCACCTGGTCAACGTGAAATACTCTTATAACAGGTGTGCAAGTTAATCCTGCATCACTATCGACACGCTGCAGCCTTTACACATTAATAACTCCTCTCTCGTCATCTCTCATCTCTCCCCACCGCACGCAGGTAACCGGGGACAACGCAGACGTGGCCGAACCATCGCCTCCTGCTCCTCCTCCACCGCCGCCGCCGCCGCAGCAGCAGCGTCAGGGTTGCCGCGGCAACCAGTTCAGCATCTCGTTGATGGAGGAGTTACATTACCACGAGCCGCGGACGTTCCTGCGATCGTGCGAATCCCTCGCCTTCCTCGTCCGTGATGCCGCGCACGTGACTCCGGACAACTTTGAGAGCTGCGTTCACGCGCTGCGCACGTTCGTGGAGGCAAGCCTCAATGGCGGTGAGTGTACGTGTGTACGTGCGTGCGTGCGTGTGTACGTGTGTGCGTGCTCTGATGTGTGTCTCGGTCTCTGTCTCTCTTTATGTGTGTCTCTGCCTCTGTCTCTCTCTGTATCTCTTTTGCTCTCTCTTGCCCTGTCACTCTGTATCTCTGTCTCTCTGTCTCTCTGTCTCTCTGTCTCTCTGTTTCTCTGTCTCTCTGTCTCTCTGTCTCTCTGTCTCTCTGTCCCTGTGTCTCTCTGTCTCTCTGTCTCTCTGTCTCTCTGTCTCTCTGTCTTTCTGTCTCTCTGTATCTCTGTATCTCTGACTCTCTGTCTCTCTGTCTCTCCAGTGCTCTCTCTTTGAACATCATTCTCTCACCCGCTCTCTCCTCCCTCTCTCTCTCTACCTCTCCCTCTTTCTCTGTCTTTCCCTTTTTCCTCTGCCTTTTCCTTCTCATGCCAACTCCCTCCTTCCTCTCGCTTCCTCCTCTCTTTCTTCTTCTCCCTCTTCTCTATCTCCCCTGTCTTGCTAAAATGTTGCACATCTATCCAAAAGGTCGCTACCTGGCTAACAGGAAACAGCTGAAGGTGCCGGTCACCGACAAGAAGCTAGGCAGAAAGAAGAGCAAGAAGAAGGAGGAGAGCGGTGGGGGCGGGGGCGGGGGCGGGGGAGGCAGCAGTAAGGGAGGGTTCAAGCGATCTCGCTCCACTCCCAACAACATGAACGACGCGGGGGAGTCCGACGATGAAAACCAGGATGACAGTTACACCGCCAGCTACCACCAGGCGTCTCTGCAGGTACTGCTCGCATGGGCGATGGCTCAGTGGCCGATGGCGCGGTGGGCGGTGGGCGGTGGGCGGTGGCGGATGGCGCGGTGGGCGGTGGGCGGTGGGCGGTGGGGAGGGGCTTAGTCTGGCGATTGTTGTTGTCGTGATAACTAGCTGATCGATCTTGCTGAAAATACTACGTAAGAAATTTCGTATGAGCCGCAGTTATCTCTCACCGACCGTTTTAACAACTCTGCAGCTACTGGACTTGATGCACACCCTACACACGCGTGCAGCGTCTATCTACAGCTCCTGGGAGATGGAGGATGGGGACACAGCGCCCCCTGGCAGCGGCAGTGAGAAGCCGGTGGAGCCAGCGTCAGCCAACCTGTGGGAGAGCTGTTGGTGTCCCCTGCTACAGGGTACGCGGTCCGTTAGCAGGGGGTCATGTTGTTTGTGGCGTGGTCCTGTAGTGTCCCTGTCATACAGGGTATATCTGTCTAGTGTCCCGGTCATACAGGGTATATCTGTCTAGTGTCCCGGTCATACACGGTCTGTCTATTGTCTCTGTGATATATGATCATTTTTAACACATTATTAGAATTAGTACCCATTGGGAAGATTTGAAATAGGCGGTTGTCATGTGGCACTGTTGCGTTACATTGAGGTGTAAGGTGTAAGATGGTGTAAGGTGTATCACATACAGATAACAACTCTCACTGAGGTGTAAGATGGTGTAAGGTGTATCACATACAGATAACAACTCTCACTGCTCAAGGTGTAAGATGGTGTAAGGTGTATCACATACAGATAACAACTCTCACTATCACAGGTATCGCTCGTCTGTGCTGCGACGCCAGACGACAGGTGCGAATGACAGCCCTCACTTACCTGCAGAGGGCGCTACTTGTGCACGACCTACATAGACTGACGGCACTGGAGTGGGAGAATTGCTTTAACACGGTATGAGCTCACACAGCGCTTACTTACTATAATTATATTACTACTACTTGTTTTACTTACTATAATTATATTACTACTACTTGTTTTACTTACTATAATTATATTACTACTACTTGTTTTACTTACTATAATTATATTACTACTACTTGTTTTACTTACTATAATTATATTACTACTACTTGTTTTACTTACTNCATCTGACCCATTGCATGCGACATGTGACCCATGCTATATCTATAGAATCTGAATTTCTGAATATCAACCCTTTCTTTTTCATTAGGATATCTTTAAATGTCTCTGGGCAGTAGTGTTTCATTGACCTAATTCGAGTAGTACAATGCTTACCTATAACCTCTCTAATAGATTTCTTTGTACAGTATGTTAGGAAATGATCACTTATACCCATAGCTATAGTACCTGACTAGCAAATCTTATCCACATCCGACACCATTATTAAGTCTATTGCTGATTCTGATGAACTTGTTACCCTAGTCGGACTAGTAATTCATTGTTTTCAATCAAAATGATAGCAGAAGGGTACCGGTAGCAGTACTCAATGACAGAGGATAAATTTATTAGCAATAATATATTACTAGTTAGCTAACATTGCTAATCAAAATTTAAAATTGATTAGCAATGTGGTAATTTTGATTAGCAAAATTATTAGGGAGTGCATTGTCAGCATCGTATAAGCAAGAATAGTCGCATTTCACTGAAAAATATGCTGAAATGTAGCTCGCCAACCTGTGGCGGAGCGAAGGGCTATAGTTCTAGAGCTAGGTGAAATTGGAGATTCTGGTTGCCAAAATAGCTTTTCAATATCTTATCATGATTTCTTTCTTCCTATTTAACACCATAATATATTTGTTATCATGTTATCATATGTCGTATCAGTGTATCCCATATATATTGTAAAAATTATTTTGTTGTATTAATGAATTTAACTTTTTGTTAAGAAAATTTCAAGAGCAATGCGATGTACAAGAAGTCGTTGGAACTATTGAGAGAAGATGGTTTGGCAAGCACCAGCCTTGGATTGCCGCTGAAGGCACGCTGGCTCGACCTGGCAGACACGACAAACAACAGAACTGATTCTACTTGTGCCAAGGTATAACACAGATACTTTATCAGTCAGATCAGAATACGGGTTGCTGCCTCTGCCACATATTTTATCTACCTATCTGAGTGCACAAGTGTACGTGAACAGATGTGTCTTTATGTGTGTACCTAGAAAGTGCCTTTTGCAGCTCATGATACCAATCGAAGGGTCCACAACACGAGGTTTGCTATAGCAAGGCATCTAAGAGCTGTGCTACAGTATCGATGTATAACTGACGGCTGAGGGTGTTGTTGTCATCAGTACTACCAGATATGTACCGATGGGTACCATATATGTATACACAAGTGTACTGGACTTGTTACTTACAGAAGTGTGTCCCTAACCCTAACCCTACCCTGGACACTACCCTACCCTAAACCCTAACCCTATCTTAACATTACTCATATAAAAACTATAAACAACATGAAATATAAACAACCTGAAAATGACCTCGGGGTTAAATAATCTGTTAGTACTGATACCGACACGACCGCCAATCTGCATTAACTTGCACACATAGCAGACAGAGTGTATTACATCCAGATAACAACTATCACTATCACAAGGTATCGCTCGGTCTGTTGCATGCATGCCAGACGACAGGCTGCGACATGACAGCCTCACTTACCTGCCAGAGGCGGCTACTTTGTTGCACGACCTAACATAGAACTGACCAGGCACTGGAGTGGGAGAATTGCTTTCACACGTATGAAGCTCAGCCAGCGGCTTACTTACTTAATTATATTACTACTAACTTGTTTTACTTACTATAATTATATTACTACTCTTGTTATTACTTACTTAATTATACTTACTACTACTTGTTTTATTACTTAATTATATTACTACTAATTGTTTTACTTTCATATTATATTACTACTACTTGTTTACTTACTTATTATTTACTTACTACTTGTTTTACTTACTATCAATATATTTACTAATTACTTGTTATTACTTACTATAATTACTATTACTACTACTTGTTTTATTAACTTATTAATTATTTACTACTACTTGTTATTAATTACTTAATATATTATACTACTTGTTTTACTGTACTATTAATTATAATTACTATACTTGTTTATTTACTATAATTATTTAATTACTAATACTGTTTTACTTACTTATAATTATATTTACTATACTTGTTTTTACTTACTATAATTTTATATTACTACTACTTGTTTTCTTACTTAATTATATTATACTACTTGTTTTACTTACTATAACTTATAATTACTTACTACTTGATTTTACTTACTATAATTATATTACTACTACTTGTTTTACTTACTATAATTATATTACTACTACTTGTTTTACTTACTAAATACCTGAACGCGAGCTGTGTCATAAGTAACAAACAAACACAAGTGTTGTACATCTGTTACTAAGTACACAGCTTTTGTTCAGGTGTTACACTTTAACGAGCTACACTGTCATTGTACGGTCATACAGCTCTTGTTCAGGTGTTACAGTTTAACGAGCTACACTGTCATTGTACGGTCACACAGGTGTTGTTCAGGTGTTACAGGTGTTGTGCGTTCATACAGGTGTTGTTCAGGTGTTACAGGTGTTGTGCGTTCATACAGGTGTTGTTCAGGTGTTACAGTTTAACGAGCAGGTGTTGTGCGTTCACACAGGTGTTGTTCAGGTGTTACAGTTTAACGAGCAGGTGTTGTTTAGGTGTTACAGTTTAACGAGCCGGTGTTGTGCGTTCATACAGGTGTTGTTCAGGTGTTACAGTTTAACGAGCAGGTGTTGTGCGTTCATACAGGTGTTGTTCAGGTGTTACAGTTTAACGAGCAGGTGTTGTGCGTTCATACAGGTGTTGTCCAGGTGTTACAGTTTAACGAGCCGGTGTTGTGCATTCATACAGGTGTTGTTTCCGCTGCTGGCGAGGCTGTTGGACAACATCTGTCCTCAGGACCCGCTTGGTATGGAGGAGACTCGTGTACGTGGCGCCACCTTGCTGTGTAAGGTGTTCCTACAGCATCTGACACCGCTGCTGTCCCTGTCCACCTTCACAGCTCTCTGGCTCACCATACTAGACTTCATGGACAAGTACATGCACGCCGACCAGGCGACTCTGGCTGTACACGGTGGGGGAGGGAGGATACAATGCACGCCGACGCAGGGCGATCTGCTGGTACGTGGATGGGGTGAGGGATAGCATGCACGCCCGGACCAGGGAAGACATCTGGCTGGTACGTGATGGGGGGAGGGAGTGAGGGCATGCACGGCCGACCAGTGGCGAGTCTGCTGGTACGTGGATAGCAGGGATACATTGCACGGGCCGACGCGGCGATCCTGCTTGGTAGGTGAGAATGGGGAGGGATACATGCAGCGCGCGACCAGGCGATCTGCTGGTACATGGATGGGGGAGGGGATAACGGAATTGCCCCCGCCAACGCCCAGGAGCCCCAAAAGCGGGCGATCTGTCCTGGTACGTGATGGGGGAGGGATACATGCACGCCGACCAGGGCGACCTGCTGGTACGTGGATGGGGGGACGGAGGGGGCAGATATGGTTGTGGGAGGAGACAGATGTACTAACCCTAACCCTGATACTTATCCTTGACCCTAACCCTAACCCAAATTCTAGCACTAAACCTAACCCCAACCCTAACCCTACTCCATTCCCTAACTTTAACTCTAGCCGACTAATCTAACCCTAAGCTATAACTGCTGGTTGCAGATTCTACGATCCAGCCAGTTCCCACGATCCTTGCACGGTCTCTCGTTGTCGTTAAGATTTTGCGTGTCTCACGCTTTAGTTTGAAGCCATCCCGGAATCGCTCAAGAACATGCTGCTGGTGATGGACACGGCTGACGTGTTTGGTAACCGTGACGACAGCAAGCCCTCCAAGCTGTGGGTCGTCACGTGGGACAGGATCGACGCTTTCCTGCCGGAGCTGAAGAAGGAAGTGTTCAAGGAGAGAACGCCGAGTCCAGGTGATTGCTCCCTCTCCCTCTCTCTCTCTCTCTCTCTCTCTCTCTCTCTCTCTCTCTCTCTCTCTCTCTCTCTTTCTCTCTCTCTCTCTCTC